CACCGCGGCCGCCGCCTCCTCCGCGCCGGTGGAAGCCGCCGCCGCCACCGCCGCGACTCCGAAACCGGTCCCGAGACATGTCTGTGGTCAAGGGGCGGTCGAGGCAGAAGCGAAGAAGACGCTCAGGGAACGTGGAGGCCACCTTGCTTCGCACAAAATGGCGGATGACACAGGCGGCGCGCCGCCTTTGTCCTCCCCTTATGTAGGCCAGCTGGTGAGGGCCCGCCCACCTCCTGATCGACAACTTTCCTAGCCAGTCAGAAGTCCGGTGTTCGGTGGCACTAAATTACGAACCGGTCATCTTTCCCATTGGCTCCCGAATGAGAGGCGGGAGGGGTTTTAGCCAACGAATGGAGAAATAGTTGGCCGTCAGCCGCTGTGATTTGCTGGGAGAAATTTGAATGGCCATGCCAGAGCAATTGTCCCGTAAAATCTAAAAAACCAGGGCCCTGTCAGCTCCTGGGGTGAGGTGTTTGAGGAGTCTTTCCTTTTTTGATTGCTCCTGTGAGCAATCTCGTGATCTCCTTTCTTGCCCCTAAAGACAGATGTCCTGCAAATCAAAGTCCTATATCGAGGGCCTACTATCCATGCTACCTCGTGCTAGACCAGTAACATTTCAGAAAAAAAATCTTACTGATTTTGAACAGATTACATTTTGAAACTTCATAGGAATACAGATTTGTTGTAATAAACTTTGCAGTGGACTTAAGTGATTACACTCTGTTCAAAAACAAAAGAGATCTTGATGGTGTGTGCATACGTTAATAATTTACAAATACAAATCACAGAAGGAATATAAGTTTTTCTTAATTTCACCACCACTCAACACATCATGAACAACTTAAAGTACTTTTGAAAATTACAACATTCAGGTATCTATATGGACTGAATCGGCAGCGTTCTTCTTCAAAGTCGGCTTCTTTGAAGTTCACTAACCATATACTTTGATATCCCTCCTATTGACTGTCATCTTTTGGCCATGGATCATTTCTCCCTCATTGTTAGTTCATGCCTCACTGTCTTCCTTTCCACTTTTAATTTTGTTTATCGTTCAACATTCACATATGTGACCACACCATCCTGTAAATTCCTTGCTTCCTCACCTCCAACAATCTTTTTTTATCACCCTTCCCACCACGTTCCTTTCTGTTACTGTCAGTGGCTAGAGCACCCAAAATCTCTAGCTGCAAATATCACTCTCTCTGATCATCACTTCTTTTCCTTCTGACTCACCAGAGTAATCTCAGGATTCTTTTTTTTTTTTAGAATTATTTTTTAAATTTAATTTTAATTATTTATCTTTTTTTTTTTTTTAATTTGACTGGAGAGAAACACACACAGAAAGAGAGAGAGAGAAAGAAAGTGAGAAAGTAAGTTACCAGGTCCGGGACTCGAACCGTCGTCAGCCATGTGGTAATGTCCACTGCCTTAACCACCATGCCACCTGCCGGCCCCCAATCTCAGGATTCTTTGAGCTCATTCAAACCTCCATGGATTAAACTATTACAGTGGTCATTCCTTATCCACAGGGGACACATTTAGAGAGGCCAGCAGATGCCTGAAATTATTGATGTACTATGTTTCTTATACGTACATACCTATGGTACAGTTTAACTTGTAAGTTAGGCACATAAGAGATTCATGACAATACCTAAGAATAGAGTAATTATAATATAATGAATGTTATGTGAATGTGGTCTCTCTCTCTCAAAATATTTTACTAGGGACCAGCAGTTGGCGTAATGGCTATGTCGCTGGACTTCCACGTAGTCGACTGAAGTTCTCATTCCAGACCTGGTGGCTTAAAACTCACGACAGGCGCGTGTGTGTGCGTGCCCAAGATCCCGAGAGGAGAATGAAGGAGAAGGGATTGCGACGTGGCCATCCCCCATGGGGGGTGATTTCACGCTTTCTATCTCTCTGTCTCTGTCTGGCAAGCGCATGCGCCCTATAGCAAAACCCTCTCAAAAAAAAAAATCTTACTATACCGTATTCACTTATCTTCAGACCTAGGTGTGGGAACCTAAAATACCAGAAAGCAAACCCACAAATGAGGGGGGGACTACAATACTTTCCCACTGTTTTTCACATTCTAATATTTGTAACTTGTCTCATTGTTTAGACATTATAATTGCCTACAAGCACAAGCCTTATCTTTCACTTTCCCCATCATACTCCCCTGGTAAAACTAACTCTAGTCAGATCTAACAATTCACCTTCTTTAATAGGGACCAAAGTTTTTACTCTTAAACCTTGACCACAACTCTCAAAAGGGCCTTAGGCTTTGCCTGGCAATCTTACTGAGTATCCCTAGTAAGTTCACTTTTTCTTTTTTTTTTTTTTTTTGAGAGGTTTTTGCTATAGGGCACGTGCCCTCGCCAGACAGAGACAGAAAGCAAGAAATCACCCCCCAGGGGGGATGGCCACGTCACAATCCCTTCTCCTCCTTTCTCCTCTCTGGATCTTGGGGACGCACGCACATGCGATCTTGGGGACGCCCGCACATGCGCCTGGCGTGGAGTTTTAAGCCACCGGGTCTGGGACGCGAACCGCGGTTGACTACGTGGGAGTCCAGGGACATAGCCATTACGCTAACTGCTGGTCCCGGTATCTCTAGTAAGTTCACTTTCTCACTTCTAGAGATAGTTTATTACATGCTTTCTCTCTTCAACCCCTTACACTTTCTTCTCTTACTCGGCCACAATTAATGATCTCTTCTTATACTGCTTTGAGAAAGTGAAAATCGTCAGAGAGGAGCATTCTCAAGGAACTGGAAAGCCTTTAGCTTCCTGATACTATAAAAGATGTGTTTTCGTCCCAAAGAGCAAACTCTCCCCTTGTACTATAGATTCCACCCCCTCGAACTTTTTCTTTCTTTCTTTTTTTTTTTTTGGGTGGGGAGAGGTTTTTGCTATAGGGCGCATGTCCTTGCCAGAGAGACAAAAAGTGAGAAATCACCCCCCAGGGGGATGGCCACACCACAATCCCTTCTCCTCCATTCTCCTCTGGGGATCTTGGGCACACATGCACATGCACCTTACATGAGTTTTAAGTCACTGGGTCCAGGACTTGAACCATGGTCGTCTACATGGGAGTCCAGCGACATAGCCATTATACCACCTGCTGGTCCCTGAAACAAAACTTCTAAAACAAGTTGTTTATACATGTGGTCTCGATTTTCTCACCTCTATTTCTTCTTCAGTCCACCCCAATCTGTCCACCTACTTCACCTAAAGTGTTGCCAAGGATAGCAATAATCCCCATGTTGCCAAATCCAATAAATACTTTTCTCTTTGCTCATCTCTTTTTATGTTAGCAACATTTAAAATAGATATGACACTTTTTTTTTTTTTTTTTGCCATAGGGCGCATGAGCTCACAGAGAGACTAAGAGAAGGAAGGTGAGAAATCACTCCCCAAGTGATGGCCACACTGCAGTCCCTTCTCCTTCAGTCTACTCTCAGGATTTTGGGCACACACATGCTCCTGGCATGATTTTTAAGCCACCAGGTCAGGGACTTGAACGGTTGTTGATTATGCAGAAGTTCAGCACCTTAACCGCCACGCCACCTGCTGGCCCTGTCACTCTCTCTATTTAATGAGGCAATTTTTTTTTTTTGGGG